TAGACTATACGTTTCTTAAAATTATTTGACCTAAAAAGATGTATAACAATTAAAATATATTATCTTAAAAATAAAAAATAAAAAATAATACTATTTGAATACAAAAAAGGTATTTATATGGCCAAGAAATTTAGCTTCTAAAATCAGGACCACGCGAAGTTCTTTTGTTTTTTAATAAAAATTTCTCCTGTATACTTTCTGCACTCACTCTAGGTAAACACCACTTAAATATGAAGAAAAGTTGTAATTCCAAACACCTCTTTATTAATTGTTACTCTTTTTAATACCCAAATACTTATTCTATCTGAACGAATCTCTCTTGAATATAATATGTTTATTATTCATAATATAATTTATTCTTATATTTAGAACTGTCTTTTAAGCATATTCTTAAAATATCATAAACTAATCATAGACTAGTTCTTATTTTAAGACCACATTTTAAATAATGTCTTAAGATAGTAGTACAATTCTATTATTGGCTTATAATATCTTGAGACTGTACTTAAAAGACTTTCTTACATATAAGAACCAACTATGAATACCAGCCACAGAGCTATATTAAAATCTTAAAACATTACTTAAAATAATATTGAAATAAGTGCCGACTGTGAATACATCTATAAGCATCTTAAAATATAAATATAAAATATTGATGATATAAAGGGATATAATCTAAAATGATCAAATATCCAAGCACACAGACTTGTAATAAAAAGTTGCGTTCCACAGATTTTTATTTTGCAACTGTTGAAAGTTTTCTTTGTATGATCAAATTATACTAGACTTAACAGATTATACTTTTAAATCTAGAGGAATAATCTTATCTCAGTGAAGAAAACTTGCAACAATTACAAAATATACATTCTTTTGAACATGGCCAATATAATTTCCAATATCTGCAGACAAACAAGGAGTATAATTGGTTTTTTACATAATAACACCAAAGTTCTTTTTTGAACCAAATGTAAACAATTTTACAAATTATTACAAAATATTACAAATAATTTGAGATCTGTACTGACAATCGAACATGGGATGATCAGATCTAACCTCGATAAGACATTCCTAACGAAAAAGTAGTACAAAAGTAGAGCAAAAAAAGAAGACATTTTAAACTGTAATACAAAATAAGTATGTAATATATTTGAACTCCAAAATAGAAGAAAAAGAATATACATTTAAAAAGCCTGAGAACGATAAAAACATGTATTTAGTATTAGCGAAAAATGATTTTGTATAATAATTACTTAATAATATTTTATCACAGATACATAGTAATAATCTAATAATTAGCTTGCTATGTACTTTATGTGCGATGGGCTTAACAGCTTCTGGTACCCTCACTCTGAAAATGAGTACCAAAAAGAGTGCACCCCGAACACGCTGAAAATCCGACATAGACATCTTAAAAAAAGAATACATGTCCGGGAAAACTAACATCTGATCATCCTAATCGAAAACATGGATGTCACGCGACCAAGAGTCAGGATGCGAAACTGACTGACAGAGTGATTAATGATGTCGCAATAATACGTATAATAATGACGCAATAACTCATTATTAACGTAAATTGTTAGTCGTGTTAACATATATCCTAGCACACTTTGGACAGTTCGGACGCAAAACAAAAAGCGCGCGACGCCAGGGTGCGTGCTCGTATTACCGTTGAACTGGAGGTACGGATCCTCGTTATCTCCGGTAACACCAGTCGTCAAAATGCTGCGCATCGCCATATTAATGTTTTCGTACGCGTCTGGCATCTCTCCGGCGAATCTCTTCACTTCGTAAACTAGCAAAATGCGGTTCGAGGAGTGCGTTGAGTCGCGTAATGGTCTATCACACTACCACAGTCTATCGCGTGAATGCCACTGAGTACAGAGGCTTGTAGATTGACAGCCGATAGGACTCTATAAGCCGGACTATCGTCCCGACAACACTGCGGTATAACGATAACTTGTTACTCACCAGACGCGCATAATCGATTGCCTTTAACTCCTGAATGCGTCAACGGCATAACCTTGACAATAGTTCTCGGTTCTTCCCCGGGAGCTATCACGTGTGCCGGCCAATCGCGTGTCAACGCAGCGTGTACATGGATTTCCCGTAATTATAGGGACGTATTCGTGTCTCGCGATGCCCCGGGTAAAGCGTGCGCTATAAACACTGGGGGAAAGTCCCCTAGACAATGGATTAAAATAGATTGAAATTTTATCTGTCCGAATGCGTATTTTAAATAAAATAAATTGTTTTTATTCAATTGAATTTAACTAAATTCAATCGGGGGGATTTAACTGGATTGGATTCAATTAGATGAAAAACTGCATTTTCTATTCAGATTTTTTAATTGAGCAGTATTCGCAATGTGTTTAAAAAAGCTGATATTATTATTTCTTTTTTCAATAAAATATAGAAATGTGCTTCATATAATTCATCTAAATGAATATAAAAATGCATTTGTTGTGTTGTTGGGATTGAAAAGAATTTAAAGAATTTATTTCTATTTTCGCGAATGCACATACTTTTGAAAATTTGGATCCATTTTAATCAATTTTGATCTCATTTACTGGCCCCGCGATCCTATTTTTGTTCTCATGGACCCGGCAAACAGCTCAATTTTAACTCGATACATATAACTTTAATTTTTTGAATATCAGATTTATTTTGCATACACCTGAAACGCAAGACAATATGAACGCTGGTAATTAGTTCCAATACATATAAAGTATCATTTAAGACGCCGCACTAATATAGAAATATAATTATACTACCTGTCTTCTTTTCTTATCGCTTTCGAAACGTAATACATTGTATTTCCCGTTTCTTGCTTTCCATTCTGATTTTTACAATATATTTTGTTGATTTAGATCCGGAGACGGTCCCATAAATTTTAAATTGCCAAGTCTAGATTTCTAGAATTGATACTCATCTACAATTATGAGAAAATAGTTGACAATTAGTTGAGGCACTCGCATGAAAAATAAATTCAAATAGTCAGTTGTATTTTGATTTTCTTTTACAAGCTCTTAATCTTTTCTTCATGCTGTAATATATAATACCAAAATAATTAAGATTAATCTCAATTAACAAAGTTCAATATATTAAGACAACTAATTCAAATTGAATAGATGAGACTTTATAACAGGCTTGTCCAATTTGAGCTCCGGAGCCAAAACGCAAAGCCATCGACGCAAAAAAATTCAATATGAGATTTCGGGGATTGTAAAGTCCCCGAAATTGATAAGCGTCACTCAGATGCGTATCAATACTTAACCGAAAGTCTCCAAAATTTTACATTGAATTTTTTTGCGTCGACGGCTTTGCGTTTTGGCTTCATCCGAAGCTCAAATTGGACAAGCCTCATGCTTTATAATGAAACTGTACAGCAGTTTTATTATAAAGATGTACTCCCAAATAACAAAGCGTATCTCAGCAAAATCGCACAAATCTGTGATTGCTTATGATGCTGGTAACTTGTCATAGATTTGTCTTCAACGATTTCGAATATACCGACATTGTAGCAACATGCAGACAACAATGTGTATATGTATTGTCAGCAGTTTAACAGCAAGATAGCTAGTCAATGTTATCTTGCGTTGTTGGCAATATGACAGCATTGTATGATATGCTGCATATTATTATGATAATATGATGGCAATAGTACGAATTTTGATGATGACGATTTTAAAGTATCGGCAAATTGTTGGCAAGTTGCTACTCAGTGTTATTATATCATGAAGGCAACAAATAAGGACTCAGTTGCTACAATTCTGGTAGCAACATATATTTAGCAATGCACACTTAGCAAACAACATGCCAACAACAAGACAAACACGTTGCTATCTGGGCTATTGTAAAAATTTTGTTAAAGCAAAAAGAGAGAGAGAAACGATATGCAGTCATAAATAAAAAAAAATAAAATAAGAAAACTGAAAATATGACATGTTAGCGTTAATTAACATGTATATAATCAAATAAATTACAGGAATTTTTCCGTTGACGCTGTACTTTTCCCCACGTCAACATTACTCGGTGAAAGTATGTGGTTCAGAATCATGAATACTTCAATATTACAGGAATTTTCGTAGATATTACTTCTTTTCCTAATTTACTTACCCGGTTAAAATACTTGGGTGAATGAGTAAAAAAAATACATTTATTTTATTTTATTTTATAATTATTCTCACAGATAAACATTGAATATATTCATCTGCTCTTACTATACGAGTCCTTTGAATTTTCCATCGAATTTCCAGATAAAAGTTTCAAATTCATTCAACTAAATATAATTTTAATTCAACTAATTTTTTTGTATAATAAAAGTTCGGCATTGCTCTCTCTCTCTCTCTCTCTCTCTCTCTCTCTCTCTCTCTCTCTCTCTCTCTCTCTCTCTGTCTTATTTTAAGTGTGAGCATTGAGAGAAAGGATAAACCTCGGAAAATTCCACTTTAAATAATCAACATTATTGCAATGTTGAAATAATTCAAAATAAAATTTCCGAATTCTTAAACAGCTAATTTTTTTCGACATAAAATAAAAGATCATAGAAAATTATTATTAATCATATAACATCAGAAAATTTTGAAATATAATCTCACATAATTTTACAATACCGATTCTAATAAAAAAGTTAGAGCCATTAAAATATTTTTTTTTAAAACTTAAATTATCTATGACCGTCAACTAATTAACTATAACTAAGTTATAAATAATCGTATACTAAATGAACTTGAATACTTTTTTTTACCTTAGAGAGAAGAATTCCAGAATGAGAAGTCATTTAATTTCGCAAAGTAAACATGATTATCGATCAATTACTTCACTCTTAGTTGCTATAATAATCGTAATGTCTGTTCTGTAAGATAACGATGTGGCGAATATCTATGATAGCACTTTCAGTACACGGTTATATCTTGCAAGACTTGATTAGCATATATATGGTGGGGAGACTGATTACAAATATATATATCTCTCTGTGGATACCTTCGAGCTATCTGAGTGTTAAATTCCACTCGTTACACGACTCGTAGAGACGCTTTCCCTGCAGACATTTGATCGGTCCACACACAACAATGTCAACTAAAAATGAAAAAATTGGGATTATTGGAAGGTAATATAATTAACTCTAATTTAGATTGTAATTTAAATTATTTAAAACTGCAAGTTGTAATAATTGTACAATGTACATTCATCGTTTAATGCGACTTTTCAACAATTGTTAATTAATTACTCCTTATAAATCCATATCAAATAACGGTAATTGATTATGAGCAATTACTATTTTTTAACAGAGTATATCGTTACTCTGATATGTAAGTTTACTGGATTGGTTATATTATTTGAAAAATCTTTCCCTCATAATTTTAATCCTTTTTTAAAATTATTTACGAATTGTTATGCTAAAAGTTTTGTTAAAAGTGCGTTTTAAGTTGTCATTTTAACGACTGAAGCAGCTATTGCACAAATCACTATGAAAATAATTATTTTTTACTATTATTTTTTATAATTTTTATTTTTTTAATTTTCATAAATAAGTTTAAACTTATTTATAGAACATTATAAATGATATAAAGAAAGGCAAAGTTTTAATTTGTAAAACTGACCTTCACAGTTGATTCTACATCAGCGGAAACTGTTAGTTTAGAAAGGAAAATTATATTTTTTGTACTAATCACGATGTATAGTGAGTTACATAATTAGTTATAAAATAAGCAAGAAAAACATTTAACAATACAGTCACAATTTAAAGAGTGAATGTAAATAAGTGAATTAAATTTTGTTTTCAATATTTTATTATATTACTATTATTAATCGATTATCAATTTTTTTAAGCCATTAAATTATATTTTACGAGAACATTGAAGAAAAATTCTTAATTGTATTTTTTTGTAACTTACACTACGTCCGAGATAAGATAATACGTGGTAAACAACGTTTCTTACAGTTATATCTAGCGGAATGAAACAAACATCATAACACACAAAATAGACTTAAAATTAAATGTTTATCGTAACATGCGAGATTACATTGCAGATTTAAAATTAAATATCGTAAGTCTCATATCTTTTCATAAGATTATTTCACCTTTGTCATAATATTTATTATAGCGGATTAATCGGACGTAGCTGGGCGATGCTCTTCGCCGGCGTAGGATATCAGGTGACTATTTATGATATTGTTCAAGATCAAATTAAGAATGCATTGGAGGATATCTGTCAGCAATTAAAACGTCTCGAAACCAGCGGCCTTCTCCGTGGTACATTGACAGCGGATCAGCAATTTAAATTGATAAAGGGTTTGTCTATCTCTTCTATTTTAATCTACAACAATTGTTCTTATCCTTTAATCCAAAAATGATTGTGTAAAATTTAATGACTTCAATAGTTACATGTTGAAAGATTCAAAATAGTATTGATTTTTTTATCGTTGATGTTATAGAATAGCTTTTCTGATGACCTTTTTAATCCCATTTACCACGGAATTTAATGAAGGATTCATTGTAGGATCATCGGATTTGGCGGAGACTGTGAAGGGAGCAAAACTGATCCAAGAATGCGTGCCAGAAAATCTCTCCTTGAAGACGCAAGTTTACAACGATCTTGATAAAATCGTAGATAACAAGGTGATTCTATCATCTTCGACGTCCACGTTTCGCCCGTCTCTTTTCAGCGAAAAGCTAAAACACCGTGAACAAATTATCGTCTCCCACCCTGTACGTATTTTCAAACTATTTATAATATAAAATGTAATATATATAGATTTTTTTCCGCTAAATCTTTGTGTTGTACAAATCCAATTAGCAAATTAACGTTTATGTATAAGAATTCATATTTATATTACATTATATCCGCAAAAAACAAGTTTATAAAATTATAAGATTTACAAGATTATATATTAAGTTTATAGTTACAGAGAGAGATTTAACTTCTGATGCAGATAACAAATATACATGTTTCTTTTTCTTGAATTCAATTTTACTGACATGGCACAGTCTTCTAAACAACTCAAGAATTAACCAGATTCGACAAAAAAGTATTGATTATTTACATCGGTTTATTAGATTATTTGGTAACCATTATAGTGTCATAAATACAGGTAAATCCTCCTTATTATGTGCCACTCGTTGAAGTTGTGCCAGCCCCATGGACGCGTTCTGATATTCCTGAGAAGACAAAGGCTATCATGACAGAAATCGGTCAAAAACCAGTTGTTTTGAACAAAGAGATTGATGGTTTTGCGCTCAACAGAATACAGTACGTAATCGGATGTTTTGCTTGCACAAAACCATTTTTTAAATTATCATTATCGTTTGACTATTTCTTGACACTTCACATGTAAGAATCATATCAATAGATATGCACTCTTAAATGAAGCCTGGAGATTAGTGGCTGATGGAATATTAAGTGTAAAAGACATTGATGCAGTGATGAGCGAAGGTCTCGGAATGCGTTACGCTTTCATTGGTATGTTCGAGGCCGCGCATTTGAATGCCGAAGGTGAGCCAGTCATTAAGAATTATCTGTATAATAATTAAACGAAGTTTTGCCATGGGAACGCATTCACGTTGCAACGTATCTTATAGGAATGAAGAAATATTGTGAAACATATAACAAATCGATTTACGATACGAGCATGACTTTCGGACCGACCCCCAGATTCGTCGGTGAGATGGCGGAGAAGATCAGCAACGAATTGAACGAGATGTGTCCGCTCGACAAATTGCAGAAGCGACGAGCATGGCGAGACACCGCTTTGACGAAGTTGTCTATACTCAAGAAAGAGTTGGAGCAGACGAAACAATAAAAATTTATGTATTGTACATATCCAATTGATGTGCTAATACTGAAATTATTCATAAAACAGCATCTAATTACATACAGACAGGGTTGGACACGTTACTTCATAAAAATAATACGTTATCATTACTTAGGAAAGTAATGATTCGTTACTTTTTCGTAATGTTAAAGATATTAGATTTAAAAATTATATTACTTAATAATCAATATTAATTGTAAAAATCAATATTAAAACTTCAAATTCTAAATTAGTCTCTCTATACCAAGCTTTTATTCTTATATTAAACTCTTCTATATTTAAATCTTCGATAATTTTTTATATTGATATTTTTATATTTTAATTCGACTGAATTTGTTACCGTTACCGACAGAAAAAAGTAAGCTTGTTGTACGTAGGTATATAGATGTATGTTTTATAAACGGTTTTTTTCTTACCAGATTAAATGTAAAAGATATATTTTTTTTGGTTGTAAAAATTAAATGCGAGTTGTATATATATTAATAATCGAGATATATATATTATTTGAAATTTACCAATCTTAAAATTATTCCTTTAATTATATAATTTAAAAACATAAGTCAAAATGAAATAATATTTTATTTTATTTATATAGCTACAGATTTTAACGTTTTCCTCCAACGCGAGGTGCGGACTTTTGCGTCACTTTAGCAACTTTCTGTTTTGCTACTTGTTTCGCTTTCGGAGGAGCAACGGCCTTCTTCGTCGCCTTTGCAGCTCTCTTTTGTTCTTTTGCAGCCCTGAGATAAAAAACAAATGAATCAATTAAATGATATTATTATAATATAACATTAGATAATATTACATCAATGTAATAATATTGTATGAATCCGCAAAAGCCAAACAATGTAATTGAAAATACAGTTCTGGGTGAAGCAATCCAGTTTTATTCTAAGACGTTCTGAAATCTGACGAAGTAAAAGAGGCCTCGTCAGAGGAACAGATGTCTATTGTATATAGTGCATCTGCATGCAAAATACAGGGTGTCCCAGACCTCGCATGACACTTATTAATAACATATTCTTGATGTTTTCAAGCATCAATTCTATTTTCTTCTCTTTTTCTAAACTTTTTCTAAACTCTTTACTACTATACAATGTCATGCTCAAGCATGCAAATTTCAGACAGTTCAATTAGCTAACTCAAAACTCTTATCATTTAAAAACTATTGTAGCCTTAATTTTAGTACTAGAATTTTTGTTTCAAAATGGTCTCAGAAATCTATCACTAATAGGTGTCATATAAAAGGACATCCTATATATTTACTATTTAATATAATAGATCATTCACATTGCTTGAAATTCTTAAAAATGTTACACTCAAAATGAGATAAATATTCAGATGTTGAAAAGAAAGAAAGCAAAGATGTTAAACGCAAAAAGAACAATGCGAACAAACTTAAATATATATTCGGATGTTGTGAAGAGAGAGAGAGAGAGAGAGAAAGCAGATGCTGAATAAATAGTAGAAACAATGTGAACAGACCTACTGTCATTTCTAAATTATCTTAAAGTAATTAATTTCTTAACAAATAGCTAATCAAAAGAATACATACTTGATTGCTTGTTCTCGTTGGGCCTTGCGAATCTCTGGCTTCATATTACGTTTAGCCAAGATATCTGTGAGAGAAGCACCTACAATTGCACGTTGGAACTTCTGTGCACGCCTCGTCCTCTTCTTGGTTTGCTCCTCTTCCTGACCCTTTTTGTGTTTACGTCTGAAAGACAAATCACAATTCCATTAACCCTTACCATCTACAATTTGGTGCCTCATCCATACCATCAAGGGTCACTTCAAATCTCTTTGCTTTTTCTCTCTCTCTCTCTCTTTTGGTGCCTCATCCATACCATCAAGGGTCACTTCAAATCTCTTTGCTTTTTCTCTCTCTCTCTTACCTCTTCAAAATAATTTTAAAAATCTCTAAAAATTCATCAACATACTTTTAACTTTCTAGAATAAATATTGACTCTTTATTTTGGAAAATAATAAAATGCAGTATAATTTATAATTATCGAAAGACTCAAAGAAACTTGCACAAACAGGAATCGCTCAGTCACTAGTTACCCATATTAGTACGGTAAGGGTTAATAACAGTCAAAGCTCAAGAAATCATGCACTGATTTAATGTATATCTTTACCTGTATAAAACGGTCCATGTCACTTTCCTAGGATTTCGCCTCATCAAGTGTGCGGACTCGCATTTCGAGTTAAGGAAGGTGAAAGTCTGAGGAAATGAGACTAAAATTGATTATGCCAACACGTGCAATAACAGATGATTGAGTAAATACAGGACGCGTTGCAATATCGGGGAAACGTCATGGAGTCATGATACTCAATTATCGTACTTATATCATCATTATTTTATCGATATTACATCTCAATGGTACTCACTTTTCCGTCAACTTTGACCATGGTTTTGCCATGGCCCGGATAAATCTTGTACCCGCTGTACGCACACAAGCCGATCCTGAAAATATCATACGTGAATTAATTACGGACATCATGTTTGTGCGTTGCACGGTGTTTCCCTCCTAGATACAATGGGATCGCACCGAGAACATCGGATGTGTATTTTTCACGAAAAACCATAACTTACTTCATATTGAAACGCTGCAGAGAAACGCGTTCAACAAAAATGGCCGATTTTCCCGTGCAATTCCACGGACATGCGCCGATGCGCAAACAGGCAAAACGCCATTAGGTCTGTTCATGTTCATGTTGCTTACACTTTTTGCACTTAGCATCTACGCTTTCTCTCTTTTTAACGTTCAAATATATATTTATCTCGTTATTGTGTTTATACATGAAATTAAGATAAATCAATAGAAAGTTACTAATTAATACCTGTTTCAAGCGCGATGTAAACTAGGTCCATGTTTCAACTGTGAACTTTCAATATATACATGTCTATCCGAATATTCCGAATCAGAGATTGGCTGTTTTCCAGCTAGGGGATACACTGTGTTCCACTGTGTTAAAAAAAAGTATTTGTTGGAACAACTATTGTAATATATGTATTAAATATTTTACCTATTTTTGTAATATATGTATTAAATATTTTATTTTACAATGTTAATATTGTATATATATTACTTATTGAGTATATTTACCGCAAAACTTGTAGTATGGAAGTGTATTAAGTCGG